TTTAATGTAATTGGCCATTTTGATTTTGCCTTGGAAGAACAACCCCTGCACAGAGACCCATCACGTCCCAGAGGTTGCCTCTGCAGTGGAGGGGTGGCACAAAGCATCTCGCTGCCCTGACTGGAGATTTAGCACATCTCTGCTGCTTGCAGCCCCCCTTCCCCAGGGCTCATCTGTTGTGAGACAGCCTGAGCACAAAAGTCCACGTTTTCTAGATAATAGGAGGCTGCAAAGTTAAGAAGGAGGTGAGGATTTTAATTATCTCTTTTATTTTTTTCCCCTCCTGATGCTGGCCCAGTCTTAGGGAGGATGCAATGATGTGAAGGCCTGAGGTGTCATTATGGGTTATTAAACTCCTTTGTGGCACTTGGGGATGTTGAATGGAGCCGTGAAGGGAGAAGAGGAAAAAACATCTCTTGATGGAGCTGGCTCACCCCCCTATAATTGCTTCAAAATTACGGCAGACTGTAATTATTCATGCTGTGGAGGGGAAGAGGGAGAGAGAGCAGGTGGGTGGAAGGAAGAGCAGCAAGGGTGCCTGGGCACCCCTCATGGCTGCCAGGGTTGCCTTGGTTGTGATGGGAGGTGGCAGCTCACATCACAGTACACGGTCCCTTTCTGGGCCTTGCTGGGGGACTGTCACAGCACAAACCCCGTCCCTGCAGCTCCCTGGCCCACCAGAGAGATCCCCCACTCTTACCCAGTGCCTTTGCCACTGGTTCACCCTGGGGCTTGCATCAAGACTACAGGTTGGTTTGTGGAGATCGCTCCAGCTCCCCGCAGTTAGGGGTGGGTGTTTGGCAGGTGGGGTTCCACCTTGGGCCCCAAACCCAAGGTGCCCAGAAATGGTGATTATTGTAAACAGTGCTTGATGATGGGACATGGTTGGATGATCTAGTCGATAAATTGAGCCTTGCACCGTGTTGGAAAGAGAATTTAAAGATAGGCTTGTATATATATTGATTGTCATCATAGTTATGCTTGTAGCAGTGCCTTGCCTGCTCCAGTCCAGCCACAGATATTGATACCTTGCTCCTATCTCTGCACCACCAATCCCACATCCCGTGGCAGGTGAAATGAGCCTCCACAGGACCCACAGTACTTTGCACTTTAATGCCTTTCCTGAGTTGTTTCTGGGTCCGCTTTATTCTTGAGGGAAGCACAGTCAGAGCATCCCAGTTTATGGACTTCTCTGTCTGGGGACTAGTGCAGGGAAAGAGTGTCCAGCCGTGTTTGCTGTGGCTGCTTTATGCCAGATTAATCCCTTAAAACACACAGCTGGATACACATGGCACCCACACACATTCAAGGATGGTCATGTGGTTGGAGTATGAGAAACAAAGCAGTGATGGAGACCCATCCATTTGTCGTATTTCCTTTGTAAAGCTTCCTAAAGGCTCCTCTTCCCTATTTGCAAATCTGGTAATTAGTCAAACATGACAAAAGCTGAGACAAACCTGTCTTGGTTTAACCAAATAGGCTTACACCCCCACAGAAGTCATGTCTGATAGCAGCAGAACTTAAACATGGACCCAGGCAGGTGGTTTAGGGAGATGTAGACACATGAAGAGATGAAAAAATCTAAGATGTGGCTGGTTTCCAAAAAGATGGAAAAGGAAACAGGTGGAAAATATGTTGAAGAGCTTTGCACTGGACTGTCTGGGAAAAAGTAAAATCCTTTTGCAGCCATGCTGATGATTGCTGTGAAGGACATCCACCCACCTTGCTGCCCAAAAGGAGGACCTGCTGCTGCACGTTTCTGGGTTTTTCCCAGTACCCAGCTCCCCTCCTCTGCCAGCTCCTCCAGGACAGGAGAACCAACCTGATTTTCCACTCTTATCAGAGAGTGAAATTCTTACCAGTGCAATCCCCTCATGGCAATCTGGACATTTTGCCCTTGGTTGCATGGAAAGCAGAACTTTGGCTCCATGCTGGACAGCATTTCCATGCAATGCAGGACTCTCATCACCAGACAGGGACGGCACGGGCAGATCAGCAGGGCTTAAAGAAGAAGAGAGTTGTATGCCTAATTTGCCAACAGTAGGAAGACAAGGCAATAAAAATCAAGGGTTTTGGGATGAAATAACTAAGTAGAAGGACTGATGATGTTGAATAAAGTACTGGATTTCATAAAGGAAGTAACAACATGCAACGAGACAAAAGGCAAAGAGAAAATATATTCAGAGAAATTCCATCTAGTCATACAATAATCTTGAGAACTTGTGTGATGTTATCAGCACATTTTAAAGCCTCTGCTTGTCAGAAGAGCTTTCATATGTAATCTCTGAATAGGTTACAGCCTGCAGGAAGGCTGAGTGGCTTCTTCTGTTCCCATATTTACTATTTTTCTAATTTTCTCAATTCTTTACATGAACTGACATTTTAAGGCTATCCTCTTAGCAAATTTATTACAGATTTGGATAACTGGAGCTTGCTGTGATGGCTGATTTTAGGTTTATCATCACTGGCAAATACTTCTCTAAAGAGACCTTTAAACTAAGTCAGTTTCCAAAAATAATAGGTCTAGCGAAATGATTTCTCGTTCTGACTTTAAGGTAAGAAAACAGCATGAAGGAAAAGGGATTAAATTAATCAATTAATTTAAATGTTGTCTTTGTTCTTTAGTTGAACTGAAAATCTCAAACGAAAAATGTTGTAATTCCATATTCTACCTGCTGTTTTAAATGTAGCACAAGCCAGAATAACTCATCCACAGTTAAAACTTGATTTGGTAAATACATTCAAATGCAATTCTTGTAACTCTCCTCCTACTCAAGTCCCTATTTCCTTTCCAAGTGAAATCCCAGTGAAGCTGGCCCAGTCTTGGCAAGACCCTTCATTGACAATGCTTCTTTTTAACAGATATTACTCTAGAAAAGTCTCTGAATTGTTTCAATTAAATATTTCTGGAGTACCTAACACAACTATGGCTTTTCATCCTTAATGTCTTTGCAGCTTCATCCTAGATTGTGAGGAAGAGCCATGCCCTTTGCCCCCTTTCTATGCCACCTTTACTGGCATTAATGGAGTTACAGAATCACCACTGAGGTCTCTTCACTGATGCCTCCCATGAAAGATACCTGAGTGTTGTTTTTGTGGCCTCTTTTGGAGTGGGTTCTTTTCTTCCTTACAATCTTCAGAGCCCTGTTCCTGGCATCCCAGCCTGTCCAACAACCATGGTTCACCTCAGCCAGGGACACAAAAATAAAGCACCCATAGCAATGTGCTAATTTGTATCCCCAACAGAAGGGTCCTCAAAGCCACCCCAGCAGACAGGAGGTGGCTGAACCTGCAGTGCTGCTCCTTGACTGCCTTCTGGGCAGTGGAGTGCCTTAGAACCTGCTCCCAAAATATTTCCTGAGAAAACCTTGAAACACCAGGCAGCATTACCCTCCGTCGGTTTGGTGGGGTTTTATCTTGTGTTTTGAGCATCCAGGATTTAGCAGAGAGTAAATACACAGTTTAGGAGACTCAGAGGGGATTAGGGATAAAACTAAAGCAAAAGCAAGGGCTGTTCTCAGTGTGTGAGGTGATACCACATGTGAAGACACAGAGGCTGGGGATAGATAAACCACGATGGCTGCTTAACTCTTTCCTCTGGTTTTTACTGTACTGAACAGCCAAGTGCCCTCAGCACCTGCAATAAGAGAAGATACTCCACACGACTTTAAATCAATTTTGTCTCACTACTGCACCAATCTTTAGCTGATGCCAACTGCTTACTTCAGCTTCAACTCCCACCAGTGAGCTTTCCAAGCTGCCTTGGTGGGGCAGGCAGTGTTGGTCACGTTTCCTGCTCCCTGGTGTTTGGTAAACATCAATATCTTTGCATCGTCAAGGACATCAGTGGGTTGTTGGTCCTCCAGAGCTTTTGGCACTGCAGAAGTCATCAGCAGGCTGGGACGAATTCATCTGTCCTGCTGGGTGCAGGATGAGCGACCAACCCTGCCAGATGTCAGGTCAGCAAGGTTGCAGGTGAGCTCTGGGTCAGTCAGCTGGTGAAAGGCCACCAGCTTTCCCGCCACAGGGATTTGTGCCAGTCAGTGGCCTGTCACCAGGATGGTGGTGGCTCACACAAAGCATGGCCATGCATTCCTGCAGCACTTGTTTGGGTGGGACAGCTGCTGCAAATCTAACCAGAGAAAAATGCCAGTTTTACTCACAACAAAGCAGAGACCCTGGCATGGGTCTGACCTGTCACACACTGTCAGCCCCAGCTGTATTCAATCATTTGGTCCCTTAGGAATTACTGCAAGAGGAGCAAAGCACTCAGGAAGGCAGGACTGCGAGGGTTTTCTAGGTTGTTTCCTCTAAAGCCTTTTCCGTTTCTGAGGAGTCAGATTCTGCCCTCCTGCTGTCAGAGTGACATAGCCAAATCAAGCTCAGAGGTGGTGGGGGAGCCCTGGAAGGCACAGCGTTGTCAGTAGCCGGGCGCCGGGAGGTGCACGCATGAGAACGGCATCCAGTCCCGCAGCTGCCTTGTGGGAATCAGTGTTATTTTCCTATTGCTTTACTGCCTCCATGACAAGGCAAACAAGGGGGGAAAAAGGCTGGAGAGGGCTAAATCTCTCCCTTCCTTTTATTTCATCCTTTCACAGATTAAAATCCTTTCAAGCGACTCCCAAGCTGGGGAAGCAAATGTGCCGGACTGAAACATGTAATGAGAATGAACTCCATCCAGAAGTGGGGGGGGAGGGGGAAAGGAGAGAAGGGGTAAATTAGAGAAGAAATCTTTTGGATGCAGGCAAACAGGTGGGGGATTGTCTGGTCTGTGAAGGCAGGGTGTCTGCAATCTTTGTAGCGATTAGATTTAATGGGACAGACACGTTTCTCTCCTTCACATCCCCTCCTCCTCTCAGCCCGAGGGGGAGAAAGGAGGGAGGTGGTGATGGGGAGGTGGCAGGGGAAGAGAAGATTTGAAAGAGTCTTTGACGTCAGCCCTGCCCTATAAAAAGCTGGCAAGGAGCTGGAAAGCAGACAGCAGAGCTCGTGGAAGAGCAAAGATGCCAACCCCGAACATCTCCACCTCTGCAGCCAAAGGCTTCCGCAGGGCGGTGTCGGAGCTGGACTCCAAGCAAGCCGAGGCCATCATGGTAAGACAACCCTACCCCACTTCTTTCCCTCCCCCTCCAAAATCCACAGCCCCTTCCATAGCTATAGGCAGAGGCAGGCAAGGATAGATGGACCAACACTTTGTTTGTGGGACTTCCCCGACATGGGCACATCCGGGCCCCAGGCTGGCAAAAGGAAATTACTCCAACAGTTCTCTCCACATACTGATACATGTGAAATGAAAACATTTAAGGGGGTGAAAACTTGAAATAATGAAACAACTCAACCAAAAGTAAGGTGAATAACCCACAGACCTATGGCAAGAATAGCAAGGAATCCCCCTGCAAGGAATCCCCCTGTGAAAGGCAATTTTAAGATCTTAATGATTTCCAGGTTTCAAGACATTAAACTGCAGAGATTTCACCTGTTCTAGCATAATAAAAAAGTGGGCCTGTCATTTCAGACAGCACACGAGGCACAGGCTGTTTAACTTGTTTGTTCATGGCTGCTGTATCCAGTTTATCTCCCAGAACATCCTTCCCCCATTTCTGTTCCCAGTCCTCCTTGATGTGTTCTCAGCCCTGTGTTTAGCCCAGGGAAAGCTCCCGCACACACCAGGTCTGAATGTGTCAGGAAAAGGAGAGGAGCATCAAGTGTCTTTAGAAAGCCAAGCCTGGCCAACCCATCAGACTTGCTGTAGGGACAGGGACATTTCAGCTCTTAACTTTGAAGCTTCGCCATGCAGGATGAGCTTGAAGACTCCCAATATTGGATGGTCCTGTGGGGCAAAGATGTGGCTAGGCAGCAGGTGACAATGCAGGAGCCAGAGCAGACAGTGGCAATGGGTGCACCAGGAGGGGACCTTAGGGATAGAGATGGGTGAGGCAGCAGATATGTTTGGCAGATGTGTGCAGTGTGACTCCAGCAGGTCACTTTTAGAGCTCCTCATTTCTCTCCCTTATACATGTTGCCATTTTCACCCACTCTCCTCTAAACCCTGTGCAATGCTCTGCCTCACTAAAATCAACCACTGCATTGGCAGAAAGGTGTTTTGGACCTTTTTGAAAGTGGAGTTTGCTGGAAAAGAAGGAAAACATTTAGAAAACAAGGAGGTAAGCTTGCTTTCTCTAATAAATAGAAATCAGGGAAGGCTTCCCTCTCACACAATCATTTTCATTCTGCAAAATAATGAACACTCGAGTGGCCCTTGAAAACCTGATATTTTCCAGGCAACTTGTAAAATCAGTATTTGAGATGCTCAGTGTCTGGAGAAGTGAAGAGTGTTTGGTTATTGCACCCTCTGGGACGTTGCTCTGAGTTTTATGAAAAAATGGGCCACTGAACATAGGGGCCAGGGGAGTTCATGTTCAACAAGTGGGCTGACAAGAGTGAGGCAACCTGGTTGGGGTGAGTGGCACCTCCAGCCTGGAGGGTACATAAAACTTTAGCCCATGATTGGATTTTTTGAGTGAAAATTTTCAGAAAAGGAAAAACAAATAAAATTAAAACTTTGCCCTGTGAGGATCGCTCTGAGAGCTGGATGCATGAAAATCTTTTCTCTTTGCTCTCACCTAGCACAGATGATCTCCACAACCCTGCCTTCTACCAGGCAAGAGGCATGACTCTGCATTTGTATGTGACATGTTCCCTGGCCCTTGTGTTGTCTCTGTGACCGTGGGTGATCTGCCCCACAGCCATCACCCACCATCACATCACCTCTGAGGTGTTCCCTTGCCAGGGGAGCTGCAAACTGGGGGGAAAACCCAGACCTTTGCAATCCCAGAACTCCTCTACACCAGCAGGTATTTTACATGTCAGCTGGACCAGCCAAACATCAAACTCCATGGAAAAATCTTTGGTTACATATTAAGTTTTTCTGCTGCTAATAATTTTTGCAAGAGACCCTGGGACTGTAGCTGGGGCAGATTTTGGTTACGGAGCCAGGCAGAAGACAGCCAGTGGAGCCAAAATAGCAGGAAAAAGCACCCAGGAAAGCAGGGGTGGGACATTAATGTCCCCAGTTTTTACAATCCTTCCTGATTGCTGCAAATAATAAGCTGGGGGAAAAAAACAACAAAATCGCTCAGAACACAGTATTTTTAATGGTTATATGCAGGCTGGGCACTCTGACTTGCAGTAAATTTGAGGAAGGAAAAATGAACAAACCCTTCATAAGAGGTGCAAACTAACCTTCAGAAGAGGTGAATGAGTCAGGCCCTGGTTAGGCAAATAAATGCTTTGCAAAATCAAATTACAGTTCTCACTGTAGCCAGATATGCACTCAGGGAGGGAGTCTGCAATGCAATTCAGAAATATCATATAATGGTGCCTTTGGAAGAAAGGAAGGCATTTATCGTGAGATCAGTTTGGTTATTATATATGGCACATTCCTAATTTCCAGCAAAAGGAGATAATAGCCCAATGAGCATAAATGTGAGGGGCAGATTTGAGGACAGTGATGTGGAGAACATGTGGCCAGGCAGCTTCAGCTGGCAGAGGAGGCAGCAGGCAGGCATATCCCCCCCAGCCCTCTTCTCCCAAGCAAAATTCAGCCTTTTTTTGCTTTGTTTTGATTTTTGTCCCCCCAATTTACCCACTTAAACTATGCCATCATGCAGCTACAAAACTTCCAGGACTCCTTGACAGGGACCAAAGCCCCCACTCCTGCCTGCCAGGGGCTACCAGCCCCAGCACATGTGTGGGACTAGTTGAGTCTGCTTCTCCTGGTACAGCTTTCCAGTCACCCAACCCTGGCATTTTAAACCCCACCGAGCTGGATTTTAACCTGGTTTACACCCTGAATATGAGGGTCTAATTTCCCTCCTCTCCCCTTCTCCAACCCAGAAGTAAAATCCTGCTGCACCTGGAGGCACAGTGTGACAAAGCACCCTTGGGTAAAGCACTGCCTGGCTTGGCATGGCTGTGGAGCTCATTTTCTGTGGCCGGCACAGGGCACAGTTTGCCCTGCTTATTGCAGGCACTTTAAAGTACACACCAGCTTAGCTTAAAACACTGCAGTGATGGAAAACACATACTTAAAGCCGAGCACATGCCCACAAGATTTTTAAAGTTATGACTGAGATCACCTGTTAGATGTCTGCTCTCTTTGGGCACGAATACCACCAATTCAGACAAGCAGCAGCATGCACTTATTTGTTAGAAGGTGTTTTTCTGTGCCCTGAGGAATAAAGGGTGGATCTGGAAATATAATTTTGGAGGAGTATCTTTATGGAAACAGGAGCAGATAGAGGTGTGTGGGCTGATACCTGGATGTGCTGAGTTTTTGAGGCTGTATTTGAAGTGTCAGCTTTACATCGCTAAAGTATCCAAGAGGATTCTCACAGGAAACATGAGTTACTGATAGTGGGCTATGAAAATCAGAGAAAATAAACTTAGTAGTCAGTCAGGCTGTCTTGTTAAAAGGAAAACACTCTTAATTTTCACAAGGTAGGGAAAGCACTGCTTAGTTAGTATATTAGCATGTTCTAAATATTTTCAATGAAATCTCAGGGAAAACTGCAGCCAGTCCCACTCTGTTCTTCTTCGGTTCTGTGCCAGGTTTCTTTTAGCAAGCTCTGGAGGTTTGTCATCTGGTTTGGGTCTTGAACACAGAAAACTGGAACCAGATGCATTGCCTCTGCATAGAAAACTGGTTGTAAAAAGACCAAGAACAAATAAGTTGGTATATGAGCTATTTGTATAACAAAAGAAACAGCAGTGATTGAAATAGTTCGTAGTTCACTATAAGTATAAACAGGTGTCCTGACATGACCTCAGGCACAGAGCTGCATTGTAGGTTCAATTCCAAGTAACAGAAATCTGCAGGAGTTTGTTCAGACAAAATAAATCTACAGATAAACAGGAGGAATTTATTTTCTGGGATATATGGTTGTGGTTTCAATTACACTTCAATGGATAAGCATCCACTTAATGTCAAAAGTAAATGTCACACTGGATCCTGGGAGAAGTTTTGCTAAGCTGCCCTGCTAATACACCTGCAAACAGTTCCTGCTTCCTGGCCAGGCCACAGCTGTGGGCTTCACCTGTCCCTCACAAAGTATCTTTTCTCAGATGACCTCAGGTTTATCTGATGTCTCTCCACTTGGGTTCATCAGACACCTGAAAACCACACAAGATTGTTTCTGAGGATATCGAAAACTGCTGCTAGGGGAGGTGAGGGGAGAAGCCCACTCTCCAGTTATGCTAAAAAGATATTTTACACAGATTTTCCCCCCTCCCCCCCCCTCCCCAAAGATTCACATTTCTGAAAGTTCCATTCTAAAACCTCAGTCCTCATGAGCAGATCTTCCTCTACAAAGCCAGGCAAGTCAATCCAGCCTTTCCCTGCTTCCTCTGTTGACACATACCAGTCACATCTCATCCAGCTGCTGGGAATGCCTCTGATCTCCTGCGCTCTGTGAGCAGCGTTATTTATTTCTGTTCTGCCTTCAGTCTCCACGGTTCGTTGGAAGACGTCAAAGCCTCATTGAAGATGCCAGGAAGGAAAGAGAGGCTGCGGCTGCAGCCACTGATGCTGCAGAGTCCACAGAGACCATTGTATTTGAGGAGAAGGATGGGAGAGCCATGCTGAACCTCTTCTTCATGCTCAAGGGAGCCAAGACTTCACCACTGTCCCGTGTCCTTAAGGTATTTGAGGTGAGTACCTTGGTACTCAAGGAACACACTCCAGGTTTCATGACTGGGCTGTGAGAAGCATCACTTGAATGTAATAAAGAAAGCTCAGACTAGGTCTGCCTGCTTCAAATTATCAGTTAATTGTCTGGTATCTCTGAAGCCACGCTTTGCTCATGGCCCAGTGTGTCCTCACTTGCCATCACTAAAAAGGGGGCATACCTCTGTCTTGCAGTGCTGTTAAGCTCTGGCCTTAATTTTGCTTAATTATTTTCAGTTTCACACTCGAGTCCACATCCTTATGGTTTGTAGTGTACTCTGACAACCCTCCCCACTGCTCAGCACTTCAGGCACAGGGCTCTGATCCCACATTCACAGCAAGCTGTGTGCCCTGCCTGTCTACAGACCAAACTCACCTCACTTGTGGGTCATTACCACACTGGTCCTCAGTCAAATAGTTACAGAAACAACTTTGCTCTGGGTGTAAAACTGGCATATTGATTTGAAAATTACCTTCTCTATTCTGATTCACATGTTAAAGGTTCTGTTGGTTCCCCTCAAGAGATACATGCTGTCTATGCCTTTAATACCAAGGAAAACTGGTAACTGAGCATTTCCCCCTTAGCCAGCAGTGTAATGTTGCATTATATAGGATCTCAGTGCCATGAATGGAAAGACTGAGATAAGTGCTGCCTATTTAAACAGTAATCCAAGCATGACAGCTTGCATTCATGTAGTGAATTTTCATCCACAATGATTCAAAAAGTGTTTTGCAAACTGAGGTTCTGAGATGTGTTTTATCTACGGTGGTTTAATTTCATTGACTTCAGCAGTGAGAGGAGAGGACAATTTGTTCCTATTAATCAGTCACGTGGCTTGTAAGGGGCCTCTGGAGGTCTCTGCTCAGAGCATGTCCAGTCACAGAAGGTTGTTTGGGGCTTTGTACACTATACAGAAAACCTGCTACTTAAAAACTGTAAACATACAAAAAGTGTGGTTCTGGTGGATAAGTATTTCCCTGAAATTGTAGGGCATTCTAGCTATTCATTGCCCATTTAGAATTACCTCTGATAATCTTATGAGAAACATTTAGATCTTCAGCAATTACAATTCCTCTACGAGGATTGCTGAAAGAGAAGCTGTTTTCTGGGCAATATATGGTCCTTGTCTCAAGACTGAAAGAACCTTTATGACAAAATTTTCAGACAAAACTCATGTGTTGCGATGACTGGGGTCTGCTCCCCAGAACACACTGATGCCAGATAAAGCATGAAAAATCCGTCAGTGTAACATTCAACAGGCTGCTCAGTGGGTATGAAACAGATGTGCAAACTCTTGTACTTGGTAGATTTTATGTTATACTGAATTTAAACTCTGTAATTTAAACTATTTTAAAACATCAAGCGAGAAGCTGTGGCAGCTTGTGTTCAAATATTGTTTGTTTCTTCCTGGAGCAAAAAAGCTCTTTGAGCTTGTCACAGAGAGAGCTTTAAATATAATAAAAAGACAAGCATGTCAAGTCCCAACAGAGGAAGATTCATTTCCCAGATCCCTCTGGCAATGCAGGTACAAGATATGAAAGCAGACGGGCATAATGACATTTACCTCATCATGAACCAGGCTGCAGGGAAGCTGGTTTCACTCTTCTATATGTGTTACATGCAGCTGAAGCACAGGTAATGCAATCACGGCTGTCAGATTAATGCAAAGGTATCGATTGTTGAGGGGACAATGTAATAGTGAAGTTGGTAGGTACATTAAAAAACACCATCCTAAATTTAATTTACCTGTGGCATCGCATCTGTTCCTTCTCATCTTTTTTTGCCTCAGATTAACAAAAGAAATCATGTCCCTTCCTCTATCAAAGGTCCTGCAGGAACTTTGGGAAGGTTGGGTCATTGCCTAGTGCCTTGGGCTTGTACTGCCAGTTCTCACTGAGCTAAAGGAAACAAATCTGCCAGGGCCCTTTGCGAGTCTACAGACATAATTTCGCCTCCTTATTCCATGGGGGTCAGTTCCTCCAGCGAGCCCAAACGACATCAGTGCTGGTAGCGAGCCCAGAGCAGCGCTGGTGCGGGCGAGCCGCGGCAGCCCCGGCGTTCAGCACCACGGCCAGCGCCGCGCCGCCGGCCCGCCCGGGCAGCGCCCGCCCCGCGGGATCCACCGGGACCTGCCAGGACCCGCCGGAGCCGAACCCCACCCGCCACAGCCTCGGCAGTGCCTGCGGTGGGAACACGTAACGTGGCCCTTTACCACACCAACTGCTTCTCTTGGTCTTCTTTGCCATGGTAGAAGTCTTCTGTCGGTAGCTATTGAATGGCCTCGGTGTTTGTGCTGAAGGAAAAAATGTGGAGTTAATGGGTAAGTGTCAAGAAGAAGGAACCCATCCCAGACTGGGATTGTTCCTCCTGGAAAAGAGAATGCTTCTAGGAGACCTAATTGCAGCCTTCTAATAACTGAAGGAGGTCTAGGGGAAAGATGGAGAGGGAGTTTTTACAAAGGCACGTAGTGTCAGGACAGGGGGACGAATTCAAACTGAAAGAGAGTAGGTTTCGGTCAGATAGTAGGAAAAAATTGTTTACTGTGAGGGTGATGAGGCACTGAAATAGGTTGTCCAGAGTTGTGGATGCCTGAGAGTGTTAAAAGTCTGGTTGGATGGAGGTCTGAGCAACCTGGTCTGAGAAAGTTGGCCCTGTCCATAGCAAGGAGGTTGGAATGAGACAATGTTTAAGGTCCCTTCCAACCCAAACTGTTCTATAATTCTATGTCCATATGGGCATCTTTGGGTAGTAGCAGAAGGTGTTTCAAGTGTTGCTTAATGGTTTTTTTTCCTTCCTTTCCATGTCTCAAAAGACATTTGAAGCTAAAATTCACCACCTGGAGACCAGGCTTAGCCGAAAGCCCCGTGAAGGGATTGCTGAGCTGGAATACTTTGTGCGCTGTGAAGTCCACAGCTCTGACCTCAATACTTTCATCAGCTCCATCAAGAGGGTAGCAGAAGATGTGAGGACCACTAAGGAAGACAAATGTAAGGAACTTTACAAACATTTTCACTCATGCAGAGAGGCTGAGCTCTACCTGTAGAAAGAGGGTGGAGGCTTTGTTATTCCCAGTAAATGCTGCTGTGTGCTGAATTTGAGCAAACCAGAAGTGAACTGCCTCTGGGATACCTGAATCCTGAAAGTAATTTCCCTCCTTGTCTTTTTCTCAACAGACTTCATTGTTCATAGAACATTCTTCTGGTAAAGATTGAAAAAAATTGAAATAGGAGCTTGAATTTCATACTTTGTTCACACCTCTCCTCTTGAGTTCTCCATCTCTACTCCAGCATTTTGTATTATAAATATAGTAGTATTGTATTTTGTATTATAAATACTACAAAGTAGTTTCGTACCTATGTGTTAGGACCTCTGTACAGATTCAGACTAATCTACAAGACACTTCCTGTGCCATCCTCTGCTGAAGATAGGATGATTATTGTAGAATAATATTGTAGGAGAATATCCCTAGAGAACTATGACTGGCAGGATCTCTGGGTGTTTTTTAGTGGGATCACTCAGTAAAATCTAATTTTCATCTTCTTTAATTTTGCCAAAAAATATTCTGCTGGGAGATGGGCAAGGAAGTAATGACATGCAGATCATAGCATTAGACATGACTTTAGGAAAAGAGCACTGAGTTTGTGAAACTACTGCCTGGAAGTAGCTGTGCCATGCTGTATGTGTGCATTTGGTACACCAGATCAGGTGTATCTTATTCAGCCTCAGAGCCCCTTCTCTTTAGGGAATCTTCACTTCCACAGACAGACTGTTCCTTTCTCTCTCCCCATAGTTCACTGGTTTCCCAGAAAAATCTGCGAATTGGACAAGTGCCACCATTTGGTCACCAAGTTTGACCCTGACTTGGATCTGGACCACCCGGTGAGTCAGTCTGTGCACCCTGTCACACCAAACTCCTGAGCTGTGCCACAGAGGCAGGGAGCTGAGAACACCCATCAGTGCAGCTGACCAGGGGACTGGAGTGTGACTGACACCTTGAGAGATGACTCTCCCGCCAGTGGTGAATTTTCCTGGGTGAGAAACTTTAGCAACTGATTAAAAGTCCTGTCTCTGTTCCTGTTTGTCACCACAGGGCTACTCTGACCAAGTATATCGCCAGAGAAGGAAATCAATAGCAGAGATTGCTTTTCACTATAAGCAGTAAGTCTCCTTCCTAACATTCATGCGGGGATTATGACATGTCAGGGAAGTCATTGTATGTCACCTGTATGATATTTCTCTTCCTTTATGTTTTGTCTCCCCATTCAGCCTTTCCAGCTCCTTTTGTGTCTCTCTTCTTTCTTTGCATTCCAGTCTCTCTTTAATTAAAAAATATCTGTTGTCATTAATTCATACATTGGTAAGGACATAGTAAGAATAAACCTCCTGTGTAACAAAAGCCAGATATATATCCATCAGACCTCAAACTCCATTTGGAAATGAGGCATATCTTTGGAATGGCATCTAGTTTTGACTTCAGTGTTTCGAGTACTGAAAAAGACACCCATGCCCAGAAAATTTGTTCCAAAGGTTCATTATCCTGGTAGTGAAAAAATGTGGGTTTTATTTCTAAGCTGGACTTCAATAGCTTTAGCTTTTACACAATGGATAACACATGCCTTTCATCTGCTAGACAAAATACTGCTATCAGATTTTTTCTTTTTTGCTATGAGGGTATTTATAGGCTAAATGATTCACCTCCAAACTCTGCTAAATTAAATAGATTCCAGTAATGTTCTCATCATTGTCTTATATAGATTTAAGACTATGCCTTGTACTCTTACTTAATACTTCTATTCTGATACATGCAGTGATAGCACTCAGCGTGTTCACTACAACATCAAATGGAGTCTGATATTCAGTTAGGTTTGTAAAATATTCCCTAGATCCTATTCAGTGACGCTGCCTTTCACCGTAGCATTCTCTCTCTGAGCAGGACTTTAAGTGCTGAAAGCAGACTTCGAAATTATATAGGTCACCTGTATGAGCTACCCCTGCAACTGGTGTGATCCCAGCAAGGGATTCTGCTCTTGGTTCTCATGTACTTTGCCAATTTGAAGCCCAGAATAGGGACACTGATGGTTTTATCCTGTTCAAATACTAAACACACAGAAAGTCACGGTGCCAGAGGAAGAGTCCCAAGTGACGCAGGGTTAAATACTGTCCTAAGATGAGGCACCAATTTAAGAGGTCTTCTTTAACATCTCACCTGCAGGTTAACATTTATGAGCCACTGTGTAGCATCCCTTCAGGCATCCCTTCAGGAACTCTGCTTTACAACATATGAATATCTCCTTTGTTCAAACACAGAAAAGAAAGATTTAGGAAATACAATTTCTAACTATGATGAGAAAAAGCAAAATATTCATTTCATCAATGCCCATTTACATCAATGTTGAAATTTTCTTTTCCTGCCATCCTTAACCTTATTGACAATATATTTTTCTGCAGGTCAAATGCATTTAGTTTTCCTTATTAGCTGCTTTTATTTCCCAGCCACCGGTTCATTCTTGGAGCCATCAGCTCCCTTAAGTTCATTTTGTATGAAATGAACTTATTTCCACACATGAAGTCTTTCAGTTTTTTCCAGAGAAACCCATTTTTTTCCCCCTGGTAAATATTACACCTGCTAAACTCTTGCTCCTCCCTTGTCCATTCATAATCTCTGACTAGACTCATGCTTTTCTTTGCATCTATGTATTTGTTGCACCTGTACAAATGACCAAGTACTTAGGTTTTGTCTTTCCTGTCACCCCCTGGTTTGGTTTTTAAAGAACATTTATGAACATCATGCAGAGCTTCTCCAAAGTGCTTCCCTCTCCTAGGGAAGAGGAGCCTGGCTGGGGCTCTGCTCAGTAATGGTGCCTTTGCCTTGCAGTGGGGACCCAATCCCTCATGTGGAGTACACGGCAGAGGAGACAGCTACTTGGTGAGTGCTGATTCCATTATTAGTGCTGATTTCACTAGTACTGCTTCACCACTACAAGCTGGGAATCAAACCCCAAACATTTAGGGCATGACCTCTGGAAAAATGTGTCAGGAGTGCAAGCATCCTATTTAATGGCTTGTTATAAAAAACACTTTCATGGTGCAGCCTCCAGGAGTGTCCTCCAAAGAAGCCTCCCCACAGAGCAAGGCAGATAATTTGGAGCCCCACTTCTCTAAGGGTCTTGACTCAGTAGCAGCCTCCAAACAAAGAGCAGTTATCAGAGCTGCAGGAAGAAGTGTGAGGCCCATGGTGAATATCTGTGTGGTACCTCACAGGCCTCACTTAGGAAAGCACTCCCTTTGAAGGTGATTTTTTTCCAAGAGTGTTGCTGCAGGAGTGTTTCTGAAAACAAGGCCAGCTCATATGAGCTGAGTACACAGGCTTCTCAACAAGGTCATCTGGTTCTATTGACTGTCTTCACAGTGCAACTTCAGGAGTTAACCTACTGGGAATATTTTAATTCCAGCTAATACCTTTCATAAAGTGTTCTGACCTCCAAGTCAGAAATAGGTCTGTGCAGACACAGACCTGTGCTGCCTTTGCAGGTTCATTTGAATGTGTGTCTGTGTGTGTTTACATACCTCTGTCAATGTGCAGAGACATAGACTTAGGTGGAGAAAGGCAAAAGGACACGGAGCCTAAAAACATGAGTCCCTGATAGTACATAGCCAGAGCGCAGGAGAGGACTACACACTGAATGTCTGCCACCTCTCCTCCTGAAGGAAGGAGGTGTACAGCACCCTGAAGAGCTTGTACCCCACCCATGCCTGCAAGGAGTACCTTGATGCTTTCAGTCTACTGGAGAAATTCTGTGGCTACAATGAGAACAACATCCCTCAGCTGGAGGAGGTTTCCCGCTTCCTGAAAGGTGAGTATGAGCCCGGGGGACCCAGGTTCAGGGTCTGCCAGTGGGGCCAGCTGCAGATGGAAACTTGAACCCAAAGAAGTAGTGAGTGAGCTGAGATTTAGGAGGAGAGCTGGTGCCGTGGGCATTGCCCACAGAGGACAGAGGTAGAGCCCCAGTGGTGGGGCCTGCAGCTAAACACAGCGGGCTGTGGCTGAAGGGCAAGCCCGTGGTCAAATGATCCCACTGAACAGCTGAAAAGCAGGTGCTGTTCCTAGGAGGAGCAGATAGATTAGGCTGGTGTAGCCCTTTAGCTTCCAGTGCTGGGGGCAGCGGCACAGCCCGTGGGCCGTGCAGCTCGCACAGTCGCTGTGTGCTGTTCCAGAGAGGACTGGCTTCCAGCTCCGGCCGGTGGCTGGCCTGCTGTCAGCACGGGACTTCCTGGCCAGCCTGGCCTTCCGCGTCTTCCAGTGCACGCAGTACATCCGCCACGCGTCCTCACCCATGCACTCCCCCGAGCCGTGAGTATCGCCCGGCCCCATGGCCTCCCTGCCCGCAATGTCACAGCAATCACCCCGTTCCCCAACAGACATGCTCTGTCTGCTGCTGACTGTGTTTTCCTCCTTTCCCCCTCCCGTCGGCAGGGATTGCTGTCACGAGCTGCTGGGGCATGTCCCGATGCTGGCTGACAAGACATTTGCCCAGTTCTCTCAGGTAAGGTGGTGTCTGCTTTCCCACCTTGAGAGGTGGGAATCCAAACCACCTAAACCTTTCTTGCTCTTATTAACCATGAGTTCTAGTGGTGGACCAAGACCCTAAACACTGACTCTGAAACAAAATGGTTTTAGTCTGATCATGGTGAAGTCCCAGAAGACGCCTGGCATGGCAGGGCAGCAATATGTATGGTCTTGAGCCAATAAAACAGAACAATCAACATCTAAGGGCCTCAGTCCTGATGTTTGTCCCTTCCCTTCTCTTCCTAGGACATTGGGCTGGCGTCTCTGGGAGCGACTGATGAAGAAATTGAGAAACTAGCAACAGTAAGTTTTCCCCTTTGCTGGATGGGGGACACAACACCTCCAGCAGTTCTTCTGTGGTATCAAGAGGAATGGTCCAGCCTGGTATTCTAAAGTTTGCAGGCTCAGAGCTCCCACCCAAGCTGCCCCATGCTCTTTTCATGATGACTGTGCAGAGCAGAGATCAGTTAAACAGCAGAGCTCGCTTGCACATTAACCCAATTTTCTCGGACACCAGTAGTATCACCAAGCATCGTATTTCCAACAGCAGCACTGCTGGGACTCTTTGGGATGGGATTAAATGACGTCTGCTTCCTTTGGCTCTCCCTCAGCAAGGTGACCTGTCCTGCTCCAAGGACACCAAGCAGCAGCATCTCACAGCAGATGGAACAAGCCCAGGGACACAGACTCTGTCTTGGTGTAGCAGCAACATAGTTTAGCACTTTCCTCTGAAAGCAAAGTGTGGACAGGGGACAAAGAAGCAGGTGCCTGTTCCCTTAAACAACCGCAGACCCTGGCCATGATGTAAGGGCTCAGAAGTGACAGGGAGATTAGGGTGAGGAGCTGTGTCCCTCAGGAATTTTTCTTTTTCTTTTCACAGCTTTACTGGTTTACAGTGGAGTTTGGGCTCTGCAGACAGAATGGAATCGTCAAAGCCTACGGAGCTGGGCTCCTCTCTTCCTATGGGGAGCTCATAGTAAGTCCCACCATAACCTGCCTCTGCTCTAGACCTGTAGAGAAAAACACCTCCTGCTTCTGCACAATGACTTTCCTCAGTCTGTTCTCCACCTTTGCCTATGCCATATGTGCTCTCCAATCCCCTTAGTGTCACGCTGGATTTTTTCTGCCATGTTCACAGCACTCCTTGTCAGATGAACCAGAGGTGCGGGACTTCGACCCTGATGCTGCAGCTGTTCAGCCCTACCAGGACCAGAACTACCAGCCTGTTTATTTTGTGTCTGAGAGCTTCAGTGATGCCAAAAATAAATTGAGGTAGGACTGGGCAATGAGAGAGACCCAAACAATAGGAGATTAAGATGTTATTTATTGAAATAGGGCTTGACATTATGGCTGCTTTCAGTCTGAGTTCTCAGAAGTGCTCTGAAAACTTTGATCAGGTCTTCCAAAGTAAAGCAGTTCTCCAGATCCTACAGGGAACATGCTAGACATGAATAGATCTATCCAGGGGAAAAAATTAACTTCTGCCACCTAGGCTTGTTAATATGTGTTACTGGACCCCAGATACCATCCCACCATGGTAATTGGGTATCCCAATCCTATGGGACTGCAAACAGGATGGTAAGGGTCAGCTCTACCCAGAGACATCTGTTCAGAAGAGCATTTTCTTGTTCATAGCCAGAATTGCCCACAGGAGGAAAGCTCAGTCCTTGAACTGCTTTGATTGACAGAGGAAAACTTTGCCTATGCCACTTTTATCCTCACTTAGGAAAGAGACAGGATGAGGCGAACATGACATACATGACTTTACAGTTCCTGCAAGAGGGGTATTTAATATAAATAACGTGGTGAGGACTGCTATATTTCAACCTCTGCTTTTATTACCCTCACTTGCACTGTTCATACAACCTGGAGTCCAGCTGCTCAAGAGCAAGCACTGGGGGAGCCCGTGCTCACACACACACACACACACTAGGCTGCTTTAAAAAAACCCCAACTGCTGCCTAATGAGTCATTTCCTTGCATTTAAAAAGGCAAAATACCCCATATACACATTAGGCTAGAGGGTCTTGACTGTGACAAGCACTGTAAATTAGCCTCTTTAAGGAGCTCAGAGACCACACAGATGCTACTCTGTGAGGTGAAAACATTAAAGCATCGTCCCTTTTGCATTACTGGCAGCTGGGCCTGACTATCAGTGTTACACCTGGAGAAAAGCCTCTTTTCCCAGAAAGGACACACTCCCCCGGTGCCCTTCCAAGCAGCCATGCTGTATCTAGTTGCATCCAAAGGTGTCAAGTGAGCACACCCATTTTGGAGGGCAGGTTTCTAGCCTTTAGCAGCTGTGCTACGAGCCCTCGCTGCGGCTGCTGACATAAACAAGAGAGGTGAGCAGGACTTTGCCTGGCAGAGCTGAGAGGAACCACATCTTTTAAGAGGAGGACAATGTGAGTATGCAGAAACCTCCTTTGTTTGTGCTTTTTCTCGTTGTTTTCCTGCAATGGCATGGCAGCTCCCTGCTAGCGCCAGCCTGCGCCTTGGCCCTCTGTGCTGTGTTTTCCCCCAGATCCCTCCACTTCCGGCCTAGCCAAGAAGTAGCAGCTGGAGGAACATCTGTCTGCATCTGGGAAAGTGGCTGCGCTTCCCCAGCGCTGCGCCAGAGCAGAGCCGCGGTAGCCACAAGAGGGTAGCCTAAGCTAAGCAATCCAGGAGCGAAAGGGTGAAGCCTCAGCAGAGGACAGGAGCATGCCTGTTCTTAGCGCTATTTGTCCCCTCATGTTCCCAAGCTTTTCCAGCGTGAGACTGCAGCCATAAGCGCCTAACTATAGATTTTCAGCTCCACAGTCACAAACGAAAAAACCCTACCTTGTCAAGTATATAAATCTTAGTGCTGGAAATGAATGTGGGCAACTTTGGGGAAATCCTACCCTTGATTTGCTTTCACTCGAGCACATACTTCTCCATTAGAAAAGCAGCAACAAGGTCTTGCTCTTGAGAGATATCAGGTGGAGTCAAGCTCATCGCTGAGATTCAGGCTGCATTTGGCTTTGGGTACAGCAGTGCAGCTTTGCTGAAGCACAAGGCTCTGGTGACACCATTCTCATCCTCTAGCTCAGGTCTGAGCCACTGCCTGTCAAGTTTATCCTTAGTATGCCAGACAGATAGTTCCCCCCTCCCCAAGCAGAGATTAGTCAATGAATGCATGTCAGAAAGGATTTAGTAATATACTATGATAATACCACAGGCTTTCCCTGCAATTAGCTTCTAAATCTCCTTGGCCTTTCTGAAAAAGGAATTGCAGCAGAGGATGCCTGGCAATGGCCATGGAGGTGACCAGTTTGATGTACCCTCCTGTTTGGTACAGCCCACAGAGAGCCACACTCATGGTGTTCCTTGACAAACAGAAGGGATCTCAACTACTGCTGTAGTGGAGCTGGAAAGATGGAAACTCTGCCTAAAGGAGGCATTAACCTGTGGTGATCTTCCTGGGTAAATGGTGATGAGTAGGAGGGAGACTCAGGACGCATCTCCTGTACCCATCCTTCTGCACCTTCCCTTGCAGGAGCTACGCGGCGCACATCAAGCGGCCCTTCTCGGTGAAATACGAGCCCTACACCCACAGCATCGAGCTCCTGGACAGCCCCCAGACGATCTGCCACTCCCTGGAGAGCGTAAGGGATGAGCTTCACTCGCTGATTAACGCGCTCAATGTTATCAGTTAATACAAGAACTGAGCCATTTCCGTCCCCTCCCTGCCCCCAAAGTGCCCGCCCTGCCCTCACCTGCTTCCCAGCCGACAATTCCTACCTGTCTGTCTTCTCCAAACATTGGCACTGCTGCCTGTCACCACGCAACCCCAACAGCTTTCCACTTTTGTATGTAGGGCCAGCTCGGAGGAGGGCAGCGGGACGCACCCGAGGCCTGCTGGCTTTTTGGGTAGCTTTTCTATTGACTGCTGGAAGAGGCTTAGCAGATACAAAAAAGCATGGCCAAGCTAAAAAGTTGAAGTCAAGAGCTGTGTGCTAAGCTCCTGGGTGAAAGGAAGAGGAGAAATTCTACTGTATTTAAAAAGAAAAAAAGAGAAGCAATACTTTTTTTTTTTTTTAAATCACATTTTGAAAAAAAATTTTATTTTGCCTTTTTTTTTTTTTTTTTTTTTTTTTTTATCCCCAATGCAACTCCACGAGTCTTGTTCTTAGTTATCCTGATATTACTATCACCTGATGTAGCTCAGGTGTGTGACTAATGCTATTGCTGGCCATTTGCAAGGAAGGTAAACATCTGGTTTGGATGCTCAAACCCAGTTTCATGCAGTTTTCAGTGTAGATATTAATGGCTTGATCTGACCCAAAGCTCTTGGTTTCCCTCCCCCTGCTTTTGCCCTTCTTATCTTCTTGCAGGCTGTCTCATAACTTAGCGGTTTGCTCAGAAGTTTGGCCCAAGGTTATGCAGCTGTGCAGTATCAGAGCTGGGCTTGGGATGTGTGGAGGCTGCTAAACAGCTGTGGGGGACAGTGAAGGGGAGAATTACACAGAGTTGTTTGCATGATCATTTATAACGTTTCTGTGCCGACTTTTGCTGTCCTTATCCACAATATATGATTTTTATAATTTCCTCTTTAAAGAACTGCAAGACTTGGCAGTGAAGTTTTGGCTATTAACACGGCTAACATTGTTCTCCAGTGTTACTTCTACTGTGGCTCAGTCATAATAATTTACAATCCATTACTCTTTATCCCATTTCAGACCTCCACATATATGTGCTTTACCCCCAGTTCTCTCAAATTTTAACTCCTTAGCTACTGGTGGCACTTAGTCTCCTGCCTGCTTCAATCTCTCCTTTCTGTTTCTTTTCTTATTTGACCCTTCCTCCTAAATTCCTCCTAAATTGCTTAAAAGGCCATTACTGAAATCAGCAGTTTGACACCAGGGCTAGCTGCTTTTCCTCAAGCTGTTTCTTCTCTTCAGGTTTTTCTGTAAACTGATAAAACTACTGAGTTAATTCAGTTATTGTCATTTCAGAGACCTTTTTCCAAAGCTGCAGCTATGATTTCCCAATCTGGGTGGATCCAGATCATGAGCTGTAACTCTCAAGGCTCCCTTAAGTGGTGTAACAATTTTTCATTTGGGTTCTTCAGATATTACTATTAGATTAAGTAGCTGGAGCAAGCTATGCAAGACGAAGGCAGGCTAGGCCATAGTTTAGTATCTAGCCATGAAAATCTTACTGGTGACTTCAGTAAAACAGACTAAAAAATTTTTTTACAAAATAAACAAACAAACAAAAAAAAAAAAAAAAAAAAAGAAAAAAAAGAGAAAACAAACAGACAAGCAAGCTAAAAAAAAAAAAAAAAAAGAAAAAAAAAGAAGAGAAAACAAACAAGCAAGCTATAAAAATTTTGTCTGTATAGTTAATGCATGGGTTATGATCTTGTTAACAAGAGCAGTGCCACTTTGCTGGTCTTCAGGTTGCTGTTTCTCCTCTCCTTTGGTAGTGTCCAGCTCCTGGCTTGCTGCCCATGAAAGCAAGGATGTTCCAAACCCTTCAGCAATGCCAGGCTCCTGATTACGACTGTGCAGGGAATCTCTCTGTGGAGCCATTTGCTCTCTGATCTGGCCTCCAGAACTGTAAAGGTCTGAAGGGGATCATCTCTAGGTCTCCAAAGCACTTCACAGTCATTATCTGCCTTCTTAAATATCTAAAATTAATGTACTTTGTAAAAAGACCAAACTCATTAATGTGGAGCGATAAGCCAATTTAGAAATCCTTGCAACTGCAAGGATTTTTAAATTCAAGTCCTCTGCCTTGCCTTGGAGTTTGCACTGCTGCTCCTTGACTCTGTCAGCTGCTGCTTTTTTGAGGAGCTGTAGTAAAATCTGCTGCAACATCTGTAAAATCTGCCTGCAAAAGTAGAAAATAAGCAAGACTTGCAGCATAGTCCAGCCCCATGAGAATGCAAGCACACAAGCAGATGTGCTACAGGCGGGGGAAGGTGTGCACCAGGAGGGTTGCACTCCCTTGCTTTTGGGACACAGGCTGAGCTGGGGCAAGCTCTGAGTGCAGGGGCTTGGGCTGCACAGGCCCCAGAGGCCCCTCTTTGGGCCATTTTCAGTGTCTCTGTTATTCACAAATTCGTGACAAATTCCAGAATTTTTTGGCCCCTTATGAAGACATCTGAAAACATGAACCCGTTTGTATTTACTATTACCCTCACCTATTTAATATCTTAGAGGATTTATCTTATTAGTAACTTAATAGGTCCCCTTTCACTTTATCTCTAAGCCTTGTTCCTTTTTATCTGTTTTCAAATACATTACTTGTCTCCTTATTGCATAAGCTATATATGAATTGGATCCTTGCTCTCTCATTCTACACATTTTTCTCATGCTGCTTCTTCTACCAGACCATTGCTTTCTTCTTTATCTTGCCATAATATTTTAGGCTCTTAGACATAGGACCACTAAGAGACAGGCTATCCAAACAAAATATGGTAGAGTTGTAAACCAATCCCTAATCTGTCACTGCTTTTAAAGCTACTGATAGCAAGGTTAACTTTTTAACCTATAACTTTGGATATTGTCCTACAATTGTCTTTAGATTATTTTTAATAGTCCGACTCATTTCTTTCTGCCATTCTGGGTGATTGCAGGTGGTAGGGTTTATACAGTCCTTGCTTAATCCCCAGGCTAGTTGCTAAGACTCGAATTCTCCACTTAAACCCGCTCCCCCTTCCCAACCCTCCCCTCTGTTCATCTTACCCTGTCTCAGGTGCTGTTCCGCACCTCTGAACGATTTTCTGTAGCAGCCTTGTTACAGTTCCAGTAGTTGTATTCCTTTTAGGTGGAAGAACTTCAGCCTGCCCAGGAAAGGTATTTATTGTGGCAAACAGATACTGATTTGTGACAGTTTATTGGGGTGATCCCGTGGCACTATTTGTCACAGTCTTTAGTTTAGCCGATGCAGTGGAGTTGGCAGCTTTCTTTTACTAATCCACTTTTGCACACCTTATGCAGTTTTTGTTCATGTCCTATGTTTCTTACTTCATTTGAGGCCAAGTATAAACACTTTGCACTCTTTTGAGGTTACCTTACACTTTTTATGTAGCTCTTTATGACAATTACCTTAGACTGTCATAATGAGCTATGTAAAGAAGTGTAGGATGCTCTTATTCAGCTGGCCACACTATTCATCCCATCTTTTTTAGCTGACACCTGGTTGGGGCTGCAGTAAACAAAGTCTGAGTTAATTTATCTACTTGCTCACTAAATTACTTCTCAGTATTGCTTGCAGTCTTCATATTACTGTAACATCCTTTACATATATTTTATTCCCACTCTCCCTCTATGCTTGTAAAATAGAACTCCTGTTTTCTTCATAGGTGTCCCACTATGTGCTTGCCATTGCTTTTCTCCCCACTATGCGACCAGTATTTTGTTCTACTACCAGGTGGTAGCTGTCTGTAGAGAGATGTTGGTAGAAGGATTTGTCATCTACTCACAGACTGTAAGTTCCTTGGCATGATCCTTTCTCTAGTTTGCCCACTATTTGTTCCCTCATTCCACTGATAGGAGTGTCTTGGGTTATTTTTCCTCTTTGATCAAATGTAGCACTCCCATGAGTGTACAATACCTTTGGTTCATTCCTGGTTTCCATTTAAAGGATATCCACATTAATATGCATTTCTTCCCTTTGTGTGTAAGAGCAGAGTAAGAGCAGACTGGGGTACAATGGCACTATCGAGGGGAAAAGCCTCAAACTCCACCTGCCTCTAACCAAGTTTTTTCATGGCCAAGGAAATTTTGGTCCAGCCACTGGAGAGGACTCATATGCTACTGGTATCCATTTTCCTCCTCTATTTCTCTGCAACAGCACTGCTCCCACAGTATCAGCTCGTGTTGAAATTCTTGTTATGAATAACTTTCCCTTAACTGAGAATTTGAGTGCAGAAGCTTTTCAAGCAGCTTCTTTCATGTCAGATAAAGAACTGTCTTGGTCTTTGCTCCAGCTCCCTCCCTGATTCTTTTCCTGTCATTTCCATAATGCTCTGCTGCTATTAGCAAAGATGGATACACTGCCATAAGATACTAGCACAGCTATAGATATGCTGCCATGAGAAATTAAATTCTCCCAGCACTCTTCACAGTTGGGATTGATTAGTGGGAGTATTTATTTCGCAGAAAGCTTAACCTTTCTATCATTTATCCATCTTCTTGTTTCACCAGTTTCAGAGTCCAGGCATTTAACTTGAGGTTGTTTTAATTGTGCCATATTCAAGTTGACATTAAATACTGTTAGGTCTATTAATTTTAAAACTCAGCTGCATCTCTCTTCTACCTCTTCTTCTGTAGCTGTGGTTCCCCAAATATCATCACATAAGGCAGTCTCTTTTCTTTGTCCCCCACAAACATCATTCAAACTCTTTCCTCACATGAGCATGTGCAGCAGGGCAGGTGCTCAGCCCTGTGGGATGCAAGTAAAGGTATCTTGTTTGTCTCTTAATGTGAAAGCAACTCTGTCAATTGCTTCTTCCCCTGCATTTTGCCATATGGAAGCTTAGTGTGAGTCGTGGGGGTGCATTTGTGCCACTACCTCTCCTAACTCATCCACTGTCCAAGGAGCCTGAGTCAGCCTCAGGGCTGCCAAGGACCTTGCAGGTACCTGTGCTCCACTGAGAGTTGGTTGGTACAGGGTATCACGTCCTGCTGCTCATGTCCACGACATTCAAGCAGGCTCCTATAAGTTTACTAAAGATTCTCCATCTTCCTCGGGCTTATGGACTGGTAGTGATTGTGCTAATTAGATCCTTGTCTTACCACCCAGCTGGGGAATTTGATTAAATGCCCATGGTGGCAAGATTAAAGGTTTACCAAGGAG